CATAATAATAAATCACAAGGTAGTAACTTTGGATTGGTATCGAGATTTGCCTCCACTAGCTGTCTCTTATACACATCTAGATGTGTATAAGAGACAGTCATCATTGTTATGATCATCATTAATATATATAACCTTTTTTATAATCTTATTCATTTTGCTAGTGTATTTTTAATTTTCACTACAAAATCGTGCCATACAAGATCTACTAGAAAATATTAAGAATATCTATGTATTGATTATGTCAATAATTCCTTTACAGAATGTCTAACCTTTCTTTATTTCTTCATTTCTTTCCCACAAAGGAAATTTTATTTCACATCAATACATTAATGCATTCATTTTAGCAAAACCTATTAAATCATTCATGCTATGGTAAACACACATTGGCTAGACCTATTTGTGATTTACTGTAGAAGCATGCTGAAATCAGCAGGCATGAACTCCCGGAACTGGTCATTACACAAAATGAAGGGGTCTTCTTCCATTCAGTAAACACTAGTCATAATAATTATTAATAACTGATCCACACACAGTACACTAGGTTAAATGCTAATATAAACCTCAGTGATAATATGCTGTTTATCTGTGTATTCATCTACTTTATGCTCTATTAATTCCATATGATTCTATTGCATTGTAGGTTTATGGAATGTAAATGCGCGCTTGAGCATATCATTGCATCTTTGTTGACGACTCATTACCATGTCTATTCCATAAATGCCTGTCTGCCATTTTCCTGATTTTTGCTTTGCTATTGTTAAAACAATCTTTTTTTACAATAGCTGCTATCTACGTATCAGTTTCTTTAATTTGTATAATTTATAGTTTATTTCTTTTATACAGACCTTGTTTGTTATATTCCTTAATTTATTATCTGCCTTAAAGATGTACTGTGCCTTGCAAAAAAAAAAATGATCATCATTTTGAAATTTACTTTGCCTATTTTGAAGTAACATAAAAATTATCAACTTGAACATAGAAATTAGTGTATTTAAAGAATGCTTACCCATAAAAACCATCATTTTGCAGCGAAAAAATTATAGAAACACTTTTAGTCACTGGAAGTATTTTATTATCTTTATTATGATTATCCAGTTTTAAAAATCATCGACACATTTTTTTAATTAAACAATTTCTATGCTCATGTTAATAATTTGTATGTTACTGCAAAATAAACAAGTTAATTTAAAAATTATATTTTTGATGATTTTGGTCATTTTCAAGGGATAGTACATCTTTAAGTCCTGTCCAGACTATCAAATTTGATTTGACATAAACATGTGACATGCCTAAATATGGTCATGATGACATCACATCATGACCATATATAGGTACATCATTACTATATTTGGGCATACAACCATTTTTGTCCCATAATATTTGATAGTGTGGACAGAGCATTAATACTAAATGTTTGTTTTGATAAGAAGAGCACTACCTGGCAATGTAAACCCACCACATCGATTAATTACGGTAGAAGATAAAAAAGAAATACAAAGAAAACAAATGATGATTACATTATGTTTATTCTTTTCCTTGTTAGATTCACCTGCACCAAAGCGTTTGTAGGATTACTTAAGGAATTAAATAGTGTTGCGCTACAACATGAGACAATAGCGGATAATATAGGATCAAAGGTAACAAAAGATGCAGGCATACTAAGTGGTGAATTGAAAGTAGAACGAAAGCAAATAATTAAAGAAGGAGAAAAGGAAGAGAAAAAATATCAAGATTCCTTAGATACATTGAGCAGGGTAAGTTCTTTAAATTCCTAGTATCGCTTTGAGGCTTTATTTTAATTATTTAAGTTAGTTTATTTTAGCGTATGTAAGTGTAGTATAAGATTATAGTGTCCTGGGTACGACGTTATAAACTGCAACCGGTCGAGTCGTCGGCCACTAATTCCGGCAACCCCAACCGGTGGTCTTTAGCGGCTGCCGATGGGAGGGTGGATGGACACCCAACAGCATGAAAAAAAACAGCTGAACAAAGGGCGGATGAACTCCTCGGAGCCAACGACCAATCATGCCTTAGTTTAAGGAGTAGCTTTTTTAGTTTCATAAAATAAACATCAACTTTTTTCAAAATGTCAAACTCAAAGAGCTCAATCACCAAGCGCATAGAGGCTTTTTCGCATGATGCGCTGTACAAATCCAACTATTATTGTTTAGAGCACTTTCAAAACGCTTGTTCATTATTATTATTATTATTGTTATTGTTATTATTGTTGTTGTTGTTGTTGTTGTTGTTGTTGTTGTTTTTAGTAATTTTTAGTAATAAATAAAAATAATTTATACAATAATAATAGTGATAACTAATTCTTAAGCAAATATTTAAAACTTAAACAGTCACAATGCTAAATTGCATATAAAAATGTAATAAAATAGTATTTCATATTTTAATTATCCGTATATAGTGATTTTTTTCTATTATTTGGACATAATAATAAATCACAAGGTAGTAACTTTGGATTGGTATCGAGATTCGCCTCCACTAGTGATAAAGATAATAAATATAGTTATTATTATAATATTATAATTGTACTAATAATTCTATTATTGTCACATGGGATGTTATTAATATTAATTATACTTATTTTTAACAAGCATATTTACAGGAAACATACAAATGATTTAATCGGTAATGATAATAATATAGAAGAAAGCAAAACATACAATTTGATATGGAACAACATAACATTAAGAACTGTTACAACTTGTACATTAAAACCAATCGATGCTACAGTAAATTGAGAGTGCAAGTTTTGAAACTAAAATCATGTTTCAGGAAGTGTTTATTCATTCTAATTGTCTTATGTGCTTTATTTTTTTATTATTAATTTGAGAACAATTAAAGTAATATTGTTAAGCCAGCATTGGCCATCTAATTTCATTATTATCATTATTAATTAATATTTTTTCGCTGTGTAAATAATTATACCTTTACTAATCCTTAGCAATTAAATCAGTTAATATTTTTTGCACTATTTAATATTGTAATTTAATTTCTCATCAATTTCTTCAAATGTACATTGTAATACATAAGCAAAAATATATTTTGTTTCAGGAAATAATATAAGCTAGTACTGTTTAGTTTCCTGGTGGGCATTAAATACTTCAAATGGATTATGAAAAGTGTTCCTTTAGTGAGAAAACTCCTCAAAATCTATGTGGTTTTATTCAATTTATTGTGTAGAAAATGATATTCTCACCACAATATATGCTGACTGTGTAGCAGTTTATAGCAATATTTCTTGGTTTATTTTCCCTTTTTATTTCCGTTTTGTGGTAAAATTTATCTAATACTAATGGAAATTTATACTTTTACATAGTAGTACTAAGTAGTAGTCATTTAAAAAATCCAATTACTAACTTGCTTTCTTTGTCAATATTATAGAAAATAAAGTTGCTTTTGAGATAGGTGGTGTTGTTGTTGGTGATATTTCTAAAAGACTGTTCAGATTAAAAATTTTTTTTTTTTTCAACTTTTAAATGCTTAACTGTTAATAAATTATGTAGACCTATAGCAGAGGGGGATTAAAATGGGGTCAGAGGGTCAATGTGGATTTTCTATTTAACACCTGGGTCCACATAGAGTGCTACAGTGTTACGTCACGATACCATGTGATACTACTCCGTTGCTATAGTTACAAAATGCGTTCAACTGGACGGCATTCTCTCCACTGACAAGTCATTGATCCATAACTAATATAATGCGAGCTTTTGTGTTTTTAGTACATTTTGATGGTAAAATATAAGATTTTAAAATGCCTATTCCAGAAAGCTTATAAAGTCATTGCTATTGTGCTGCAATTGTACTGCTTTATGCTCAGTTTAAATATTGCTTTTTACAGATGATCTTTTTCGGACTAAAAAAACGAAGGCTAGTCAAAGATGGTAGGCAGGCCGCACACATAGGGTTTTTAATCTATTTTTGCAAGCCACAACAAAATGGCCATCAGGTAGCCTGTGGCCTGTGGGCTGCACTTCGCCTACCTATGACCTACAGTATGTAGACTTTGTTGTTTTTTGTGTAAATAGCATTGCTGCTTCAACTTTTTTTCTGGTAAATTCAGGACTGAATGCTCTCGAAAATCAATTGAAACTTTCGGATGAATTTTATTTTTTTCGGGAAGAAGGCTCAAAATCCTTTACCAGTAATATCTTGGGACACTCTTCTTGGTCAGTTTTTATAATGGTGGTCCATGCTTGTGGTGGTTTGTTTATTCTGCTGAACAGCGTTGTGTTGTGATCAATGCTTCGTGTTTTTACATTTTTTTAAAACATTTTTTTAAAACTATTTGAATTAAATTTAAACATTTTTTAAATTTCTCAATGCTGTATATTTCTTCTTTTTTTTTTAAAATTTTGATATAAGCCTGGTTCTCACGGATCGGGAGCTAACCGTTAGCGCTAACCTTTAACACCTGTGTGAGAACGGCTGATAGGTTAGCAAGTAAGCACGTTTTTATCATCAACCAATCACACGTACGCGTTTACAATTTCCAGTTTCTTATTGGCCAGTGATTCGACATCATATTTTTGATGTCCGGATCCTGATTTTTCTCGTATGGACGTACGGCAGCTAACGGTTAGCTTTAGATCCGGATCCTGCTAACCGTTAGCAACCGTGTGAGAACATAGCCTAAATGTCATCAAAGGTGGGACCTAATTGTAATTAACTACGGTATTGACCACTCTTACTACTTGTGGTATACTTCTGTTCAAGTCAGCAAACAATACCTATTTTTTATAGTCTACTTCGTGAATACTTACCTGGATAAACCGATTAATTGCCTATTCTTTCTCACACGAGAAACACCCCTTTAAAAATAATAGAACATTTGACTCCTGGCGCCAAGCACAAGCGGCCCCGCAACCATGCAACCTCCTCATTCTTTTTCTATCTAGCGAAATTGAAGCACCTTGATTTACAGGAAATTTTTTTGGTAGAGTTTAGTGAAGTTTAAGAGCTTTGAGCCTTGGATTTATTTCTGCCTTTTACTGTGGATTTACTGTATGCTGTGACATCATGGCCGACAAGTCTGAATGTCCACAGTTATCTTTGTGTCGAATGAGGAATTGCATGGTTGCGGGGCCGCTTGTGCTTGGCGCCAGTACCACCAACATCACCATTGGTTTGTGTATTTTAATTTGGTTGTGTTATTTTTTTAGGTGAAGAAACACTATGAGCAAGCCCACAAAGCCTATGAGCAGTCAAAAGCCAATTTCATACGTTCAGATAACGATCCGAATCAAACAAAAGCGGCTGTTGAAAGGGTGAGTACCAGATTGATAAATATTTTTTTGGCCATTGACAGTAATTATTTTGATTCTCTTTACAGTGCAGGTCAGCTTGTGCTACAGCGATGGGTAAAGGTGGTTATCTTCATAATTATTAATAACTGAATGATGGATGCCAATGATGAGCATACTCTATTTTATAGTTATGATATTTTGATTTCTTTTTTATTTATCATTGGCCATATTCGACTGGTTTTCCTTCGTTATACCACGTCCACCTGCACAGTGGTAAAATCGACCAGACGAATAGAAAACTGGTGAATATTTGACAAAACAAAATGGCTGCATGGTTACCGCGATAAGTTTGCTTCAGCTTGTGACAGTATGGGTTTTTTTTTTCATAAAAAAATGTTTACATGCAGTTTTTGAATTCTGTTAGCCTACAATTAATTTTTGTGGGTAAATATTAGAATTATTATTTCCTGAAATTTAATCTAGATTATATTAACGCAAATGTTGTTGCTGAACTGACCAATCGTCTATGTTAGCTTTGGTCATGTGGATAACTTATTTCAAATTAAGGTCAAATGAAAATAATACTCAAAGAAACGAACCAGTCAAATACTACCATTGTTACAGTGATAAGGGCGATCATTTTTTATCATATGATACACTCACACCATACAATTAAATGAACAAAAACAAAGACATTAAAAACAATGTAAATAAGTAGTGTGCATAATACAATAGTGATAATGATAATATGTCAATTTTGTATAACCCATATCTTGAAAGTGTTTTTAAATTTGGAACCTAACCAAAAAGAAGAGTCTTTGGACTCCATTGAAGTGACTGTCAAATAACTTTGTTTATGTGGGATTTATACAGTGATAAAGGTCCTACAGACAGCAGCGATTATGAAAGGTCATTCTAAATCTTTGGAGCAGCAGTAAAGATATCTCTCAAATCCCTCTGATTGTGTGTAAATTACTCCAAATAAAACAAATTAATAGTCTCTCCTCCCCTCGCGCATCAATTTTCTCTGCCACACCAAATTTTAAAAAAAATTGTCCTTTATTTTACGAAATCACATCAGTAAAATTCCTCTCTCGATCATCAGTGGTTGGGGAAACATAAATCATGTCAAGTGCTTCTCTTATTTGCTTTCAATGTGTCTACTTGGTAACAGTGAGAAAGTAGTAGATGTTTCCCATCGACCATCTTAGATTTATCATCTCGGAGTAAAAAAAAAAAATTATTTACCATCTCAGAGTAAAAAAAAAATTCCCTCATTCTCCTGTTTTTATATATTAGGACAAGAAACTCGACAATACATTCATGTTGTTACATAATTGATTAAGCCTTTTCAGGGTCATTATTGACATTGTTTTATACTGTTTATTTTTAGCCATTCCGACCCTCTTAACGTTATAGATTTAGTGTCAGTGGTAGTGGTAATAACAATAAACAAATTTTATTACTCACCTACTGCACTATTTAGGATATTTTGGTTCCATTCCCCGGAGCCCTGTTCACCTCTCTGGCTTCGTATCGTAACAAGGGAGTGATATTAATTAATATTAATTAACTCCCTTGTTACAATACGAAGCCAGAGAGGTGAACAGGGCTCTGGGGAATGGAGCCGAAATATCCTAAATAGTGCAGTAGGACAAGAAACTACTTTATTTTATTTACTTGTCCATACCGTATTGTCTCTAATAAACACCCCTCTTCTAATAAACGCCCCCTCTGAGTTGTTTTTTTTCATCTTGCAATGAGTGCCCAATCAATTAACATGGGTATCCAGTCCATAAAAAGGTTGACAAACAAGGAGTAATACCGTACTGCGTGCTGCTTTCTTTGATATGAAATGAAATAAATACTACTTAAAAAAGCTTACCCTAAACGTTTGATGTTTACTGTCTCCACGATCACTAGGCCTAGGCCTATTTTGTTTCTCTCATGGTATTTCGTTAGCCTTGTAAAAACAGGGTAAACTGCAAACTGACGGCAAACGACGGGTAATCGTGTATTGTTATTGTGTTGCGTGTTCGACGCTGATTTGATTCAAGGTGTCTGGTCAAGGAAGTCTACTGTATACCGTAGTAAGAATGTTTCTTCAAGTTGAGGGCAGATGTTTTGCGTGCGGTGCTAGTTCATGAGGCCGACATGTTTTTGACAAGCACGCTATTGCTGTTGTGAAAGGAGAAGCACCGCGCTGCATCGTCGGACATTTACCCCAAGAGAACTCGAAGATATTTCATTTCTTTTTGAAACACAAGGAATTATTGATGTTGAAATAACCAGCAACAAACGAAGGAACAGCAAAATAGCAGGAGGCCTGGAGATACCCTGCACATTAACTTGTTCCTCTACAAATAAAGAACTTATTGACCATTTAAAGCAGCTTGTTTAGGTAATTTTTGATTTTACAATTCACCTCTAGTAAACCCCCCCCCCCCCCCCCCCCCCCTTTTTTTGAAAAAATGCAACTTCAAAAGTAGTTTGGCAAATCACAAATTTCAGGTTAGAAAATAAGAGTTCAGTAGACTAGACTGGGTGCAGCAATGATAACTATGGCCGATGATTCATAGTAACAATAACTTATGATCATTAAAAGAAATATAGATAAGGGTAGGTTCCACACTGTTATTTTGTATAAAAATGGAACAGTCCGTCTTCCCATAAACCATCTATCCATCCTTCATATCAGGTCATAGACAGTATATGTCTATGTACTTTACTGACTATCAATAATTTGTCAATAATTGAGGAGTACTGTAAAGAACCTACTGGAGATTACTGTTACAGAAACATTATTTTGTGCTTTGCATATTGTATTGTATATTTTCGTAACTTTCACTAGTTGAAAGGTTGATAGGTTATAAAATGCCAAATTAATATCACTGAAAATGAATTTACGGTTAGTTCAACTGAACTTTACTGCTACAAATATAATAAATTTTACATTAGTTAACATATGTGCAGATAAACAGAATTTAATTCTCATATTTATTATAATAACAAATCTCAACTTGAAATGTTTAATGTAACATGATGGTGACATTTGATTGACATTAGAAAAGTTTCCAAATGCACAAATATCATAAATTTTACATTAGTTAACATATGTGCAGATAAACAGAATTTAATTCTCATATTTATTATAATAACAAATCTCAACTTGATGGTGACATTTGACTGACATTAGAAAAGTTTCCCAATGCACACACATTAATTGAAATATAACGGCTGTGAGGTGGTGCGATTTGTGGTCGCACAAAATGGGAGGGTTGCACTTTTTATGCCGTTTTGTTTTTTAGCCTATTATCTATGGCCTTAATACATTGAAAACAGTGACTTTTCTCCAGATTACTAAAGTTAAGCAACTTTAGACTCTGTTCAGACTGCACATAGATGGTAAACTTTGGTGAACAGGTACTGTCGAATCGAGTGAGTGGATTAGTCCAGCAGTAGGGCACAGACACCACTATCTGCAGAAGGTTGATTTATTTCAGTGGATCTTTTTTCAGCAGCAGATCACATGCTCAAATGTATACAACTTAATATCTTGAATGTTGTAAGCATTAGCATACTACTTGTAACCCCTGATATTTTTTTTCCAGTTAAAAGGAATCATGAATACAAAAAACCAACTGAGAGAGGAAAGCAGGAATGAGTACATATTACAGTTACAGAAGACCAACTCTGCACAGAAAGAACATTATTTTACCAATATGCCAGCCGTGTTCCAGGTCAGTTCAATAGTAAAGATAATGAAAAGAGTTAAATTGAAGAACTTAAATTTGAATTTAATTTAAATATAATAATAATAATATATAAATCAAAATAAATTGTAGTATCTAAAAGCAGATGGTTGTAACAGAGATGCATTTGACAAAACATCATTAAACAGTTAATAGTGATCAATGAAAATGTAAATTCTATAAAACACATTTTATACATGAACAAGTATATGGTGTTATTAATTGTTGATTATAGGGTTGATCAAAATTAAGACCTTATAAACAATATCTCCCACCATCCAGAAAACCAACAAAATAATAGTGGTAGTATTAGCAGTAATGATAATTACCGTTTATTCAAGGAAAAAAGTAAACACCTGTGCTTTTATTCGAGGGAGGTGTTTATTCCAAATGAGGCTCTAGAGGGGGGTGTTTATTCCAAGCATTTTGTTTACTGGAATGAATATGGTATGTGGATTCTATATATATTATACTGAATGCCCCAATGTTTGCTTGGGTTTATTTCTTCTTTTGTGTTGCTGATTCACTTCTTGATCAGAATCTTTTGCATTTGATCTAATTTAACAGAAAATGCAAAACATGGATGAAAAGAGGATCAGATCGTTGTGCGATTTCTACAAAAAGTTTTCAGAATCACAGAATCTTGTGAATCCAATTCTAGTCAAGTGCTTAGAAGCTATGGTTCAAGAAGCAGAACAAATCAACCCTGGTTCAGTAAGTTTAGTAAATGTTCTTCATGCGCCTTGTATTATGCAGACTAAGCCAGTTTATTTTGGTATTATTGCACTTTCATTTTCGGCTACAATAACATGTAAGCCTATATTATAAGTTTCAAGGTTGTTTTTCTTTTTACTTTTATTAATGCAAATATGTATGTGAAACGTTTTTATAGGAAGGTAGATACTTTCAATATACATTTGTCAATATAAATATAGCTTATTAAAACTCACCTTATATAACTTTGCGCTGTAAATTAACCATGTATGCTCTTAATTAGGTTGAAAGTATAGCAAAAGTAACACTTAGGAGTCAGGTTAAGATATTACAGCTCACTTTTTCTCCTGAATTATATAAACATTATATACTGCTGTAGGGCTGCAGTCTATTATGACCCTGTGTGAAGTGGCCTTAAAATGCATAGGATTGGATTGGATTTATTCAGTGTAGACACCAAGGATAGCCCACAAAAATCTAGAAAGAAGACTTATTTCCAGTGGGGTCCTTCTGGTAGTGATTAGGTAGTACACCGGTAGACAATCCACTACTCTTTGCCGAAGAGTGTACTGCATTCTTTAATGTGCACATGGGCCATAAATGCATATGGGACCAACGGCTAAAAAAGTCTCATTCTAAAGACGGTGCGCTATTGTAACTTGTATTTCGGCTCTCCAGCTGAAACACAAGGAAAAGCAGCGATGGGAATTGAACCGGAGACCTAGAGATCTCCATAATTCAGCGCACACACATTGGCTACCACCAGATTAGCCAACTGAGCTAAGTTGCTCTCTGTACTGTGATTATATCACAACAATGATCATATAGTTACTGTGATTAGAATAAACTGTAATTGTCTTTGTTAATTGCATTTGTATGTTATTTCCTAAGCTGATATTGGCCCAAATGTCTTTTGTAGCAATAAATAAAGTTGAATTGAATTCCATTTTTCAGGACTCTGTGATGGTGATAGACAAATACAAATCTGGTTATGTCCCGCCAGGCGATATTGCATTTGAAGATCTTGATGTTGAGCCCACCTACCAATCGAAGCCAGCTGACACGGATTCTATATCCTCTGAAATTGATATCGCAGTTACCCCAAGCAACGGTAGTGGAACGATCTCAGGAAAAGCAGCTAAAACAAAAACAAAAAGAAAAGGGCTGTTTGGTAAAAAGGTACGCATTACCAATATCTCATGAATGTATTTTTTATATTTTGTTTAGTATTTAAGTTTGTTTCTCACAAATGTTCTTTGTTCATTATAATTATTATGTAAATGTAATGTTACTATTATATTTTGTTATGTAATAGGGTAATCCTGCATTTTGAAATCGTCACTGTGAATTGGAGTATATTTGCTGGTAGAGTCATACCGTGCATGGCATTGTGACGATAAAGAGTTTCACAAGTGAATTCCTGTTTCTTATGTATTATGTTCTATTTAAATTTAATGTATAAATCCTTAACTTTTTATTTAACAAGTACTAGTGTGTGGGTATTTATTTATCTGATTTCTTGCAATTAGCAAGTAATTATAAACTATTCATTTGAAAGTAACAAATTGATATTTTAATCACTAATAAATAATGTCATTTCTCCATTCTTAGGTTGGGCTTTTGAAATAGCTGGATTTTTGTAGTGAAAGCCTGTACATTTAATAAAATAAAACTTACTGTTAGATAGCCTCCTAGATATCGAGCACATAATCCTAAAGAATTTTGCGTGAATTTAGAATAAATACTTATAGATAATTACCGTGAAACATAGGACTTGAGTCTGTTAGCAAATGATTGTTTCTTAACCTCTTATCTTGTAGTTGACTTTGATCATTTTTAAAGGCGACCTTGTGTTTTAGTATATTTAGAATACTTAAATAATCTATCACCATTGATATAGTCAATCCTATTAAGTATTTTTTAAGCATGGATAATATCTGCCCTTTTTTTCTATAGGTTAAAGTAGGTAATTTTAGTATCTTTAGCTTATCTTATAATCTACATCTAACAATATCGGTGGTGTTGATGATGATGATGATAAAATAATATTAACCCTTTGTCAAACATTTTTATGCTGAGATATAGAGTTAATGAAGTGGAGTTGTACAGTGTAGTGGTAGAAATGCTTGCGCCCTAACCCATGGTCCTTGGCTTCAATTCTTGTGACATCAAGAAATTTTTCATGTCTAAAAACACTCCACTCCCTAAGAGACTTACTTTATAAAAGCATTATTCCATCCTGTAATTGGTGAGTTACTTGCTGTTGAATGCATCAGAAATAATTTTGTTTAATCTGATAAATTATTGTATATGTGTACTCGCATATCTCTCTTGGCTCTTTATGACGATTTAAGAATTCTTGCTGAGTTGAAATATTTCAGGCTTCTGGGTATATCATGAGTAGTTGCATTCTGTACATATTAAGCCTGGTTTCCATTAAATTGCTACTTGCTATCGCCTATCCCTTTGGCGATGCTGATTGGTCAGTTGAATCTGGGAGAGTTTCCAATTGTGCCGGGGACAGCTACGCAGTGCAAGGATTGCAGTGAAAATGCTGTAGCAATTCTATGGATTCAAGGCTAAAGCCAGCACATAGCACTGTTTTAGTAAATGAATAGGTGACAATTAGTGCACTAAGCACCATAAGGATTTTAGCAGGATTATGAAGTGCTTCTACTCAACTACTATAGTAACCCTTTAGTCAAACAGTTATATATGCTGTTAATATTTCAACTAATAGCTCACTTAGCACCCTTTCCTAACAATATCAATTGAAGAATCACCTTCCTGTTATATTTACAAATGATTAAATATTAATTTTATTTTTATTTTCACCCTCTCACCATCATCATTATAATTATTATATTTTTGTTATCATTTTTATCATTGTTATTTTTTGCACAGGAATGTTAGTATAGTACACCAAAATGGTGAATATCCTTAATAGATAATAGCAATTTAACCATAAATCTTTATTAAATGATTATTTTTCAAATTGCTTTTTTCAATTCATGAAATTTTAAATCTATGCCTCAAAACTGTTCATTTCAGCTATTTACCAATGAATATATATTTTTTCTTTTTTGCACATGATTTATGTTTCTAACATTTCCATTCCTATTCCTTTTTTTTTTCTGTGACATGTTCTGTTCATAGGATACAGATAGCCCTGATCGCAAAAATAGAATACTACAGAAACCTTCGTTTAGGAGAAAGGTATAGTGCGCAACTGATCCAACTGCCTGCATTTATATTTTCTTTTGTTTTTTCGATGTTGGTTTTTGTCTGTGTTTTCTGTGTTTATAGGTTGTAAACTGGTTGTCACGTAGTTACACTGTCTGTTTATAGTTTGCATTTTGCACATATACACGTACATACCCACCAACACACCCACACACACAATTCACACATAGAGGAACAGACGACTAATACAACATGCTCATTCCCAACATATTTCTGTATTGAACAAGAATATCTTATATGATCCACCTCCTTATTTGTGAAGCACAGAGCAAGTTTTTCTCCAACTGAATGAATTTTTTTAAGGGACGTCAATCAAAGCATGGCATATTGACCTCTGGCATGAATTTAAATGTGCTCCTTTCATTTGAATTTTTTGAAATAATTTGTTTTCCATGTTTGCTCTAATGTTTTGGGGTCCTGAACAAAAGCTGACACATGGGTTAACTGCCTTTTGCTGGAAAGTATTAATAATTGATATTAATAAATGCTTAATGCTTAGAAATAAAGATCAAGAGGGAACTTTGCTATGGGATAAAACCAAGGCAATTGTTTATGCAAATGATTTTGTAGTGTTAAATGCATTGTTCTCATTCCTGAAACCCATCCTAATAGTATAAATAGACACTTGCACAATGTTTGACAGATAAGGACCTTAACTGTAGTATGTTAAAATAAGATGGAGCCATTACTCTTTGTGTTTAAACTCCTGAAATTTCAATATCCCAGATTTCAAACCCTGCTATATTGTACTTTTAAAATAAATAAGTACACAATAATGTTAAATACTAAAGTAATAATTGTTGGCTTATAAAAATTGAACCGGTATGATGCAAACACTAGTGAAATATTTCCAATATTGTCTCATTCCTTCACTTGCACACTGAAAATTGACTGTTAATTGTTGAAGTCATAGTTTTTCTTACATTTATATTAATAATATATAAATAAGTAAATAAATAAAAAAGTATTATAGGGATAATAATAGCTATTCTACTATCTTGCTAGTGGATTTCCAATTCCAAAATATATCAAATCACTTCCTCTTCTATGCCTTAATAAAATGTTAAAAACCCTAGAACACAATTTTCTGAATATATATCAGTTAAGTTTCATATTTGAAGGCAGGGGGGAATTTGCCAGGCTAATATACATAAATCTAGATTTGTACACAACCATTGCAGATATTAAACTTCTTTTAACTTTGGTGGTTATGGGTCAATAATTAACTACACCTAACATCATCACCTTTACTAATGCTACTGTGCTACCTGTTCTGTAAAGCTAGTAACTGTCAAAAGTAAGATGGATGTAACAGTAAATTTCAGACTTTTGATTATTGTGTAAAGTTTATAAATATATTATGATACCATTTCTAATATCTATAAATGTTATATTAAGATATCATTCCTAGTAGCCATCTATCTGATATTGCATTAATTGCAATGAATATAGTACCTTGATATTCATACCAATATGCATAATTCTAATTCTTCTTTTAAAACTTGTTTTATTTTCTATGACCAGTTCAAATCAAAGGTTAGTTTTAACACAGTGACCATGTGTTTCCCATGTTCATTTGTTTTTTTTCATTATTTATTTTATACTCTATATTTTATTTCTTATCTCTTACATTTAAAGGGATGTATACTGTTCTGGCATGTTGGTACATCAAATTTTTTTGACATTTGTTTTTAGACTATTTGTCGTATATACCCTTTCCAAGTTAATAATTAAATATTTTTGATTTAATTTTATGTATAATTCATTTATACAGTTTATTTTCACACTAATTTTATGTTTATCTTTTTAATATAACTTGGTATATTAAAAAAAAAATTATAACATTTGATGAAAACCATGCCATAATTGGTAGGCAGATCTTTAAGTATAGTTAACCTAGTAGTGTTTGTGCTTACTTTTTGGTTGGTGGTGGAGTATTTCTTAGTCTTCGTCAGCTAGTGCTTGCTTATTGATTACTGCCTGTATTCTAAAAAACAAATTTAAGTTTTAGTTTGAACTAGGAATTCAGAATTACATCATTTCATATTCTTTTTCCCATATTTTTTTTTTGGGCCTCAAATACCTCCTTGAATGCCTTGCCTCCTCACATCCGACGCTGATAAGTGAATTCCAGCTTCTATTAAGTTCTCACTTTTTATTTTTCTTTCATTTTGCCGTTTTGTTTTAATTGCTAACTTTGACCACACTAAACAAATATTGTAAAGGAATATGCAAGCATAATGCATTATTCTATGAGAAACAATATTCTAATTTAGCTTTACTGTAAAAATATATTTAAAAAATGTAATGGTCAGTGATTCTTTTGGTCTCAGTATATCCCCAAAATTCAACTTGGCAAAAGTTTAAACCTAAGTAACATGTATGTCTTGAATTCCAAATTTTAATGTCTCAATTATAAATATATTTGCAGGCTCTCTATTTTGACTCCAACATTAATCACATTGAATAGAATTTGAATGTAAAGCTTGGAAATTAAACTACTTCTACATCATGCCTAGTTCAAACTAGAAATAAAGTTTGTTTAATGAATACAGGCATTAGCCCAGGCCCTAACAAAGTTTGTGCTGCTTACTAAATAAATAATGTTCCACTTGTAAAATGGCTGGTGAGACATAATTAATGATATGCTCATATTCTGTGACAACGATTGTGTTCTCTTTTAAGAAAAATTGTAAGGAAATTTTGCATGGCATTGAATTAGGCTCTTGGGATATACTGTACATGGCACAGTATTGTATTTGGTAGTATACTTGGTTTTTTTTTTTGTTTTTTTTTTGGTTACTCCTTTTCTCTAATCCAAATATATAGATATAAAGTTGTTGACTAAATTGATGCAGTTGCAGGTCTTGTATGGCTTATAAAAGAATAAGAAAACATAGGCTAGTGCCCTAGATTATAATAAATTTAATTTTATTGCGTAATTATACGCCCACTGATGATAGTATTAAGAATTTCCGTTTAAAATAGCATGTTATACTTGAGAATGATTGGAGAGGCTTTTGCTCAGTGGTAGGACAAGAAGTGCCGTATTGGCTAATAAGGATGACAAAGGCAATGACGGTGACAGTGATTATGGTGTCGGTGACGATAATGATTTGATCAAATTAATTTTTAGAAGACAAATATAACTAGAAGCACCTTATAGAGTAGAATTCATTGCCTTAAATTTACTCAATTCAAGTTAATACATGAAATTTTAAAATATCGCTTTTGACTTTCCTCCTTTTCCTCCTTCATGATATATATATATAGGAATCTGAGGATGACAGTAAAATAATATTTTAACCTTTGTAATGTTTTTTCTATTTTTGAAAGTGTTTGAAATTTGTCATCTTAATTGTGTGACTTGTGTGCTTGGGTGTGGCGGCTTAAGATAAATAAACGTTTTTTTTCAATTTAATTAAAGCATAATTTGAAATTTTAGAATCAACATTGATGAAATACATTTGCATCTATCTAAAAGTTTTAATTGAACTGTAACAATCAACGAATTACCTTTTTATTATTATTATTTAATTTAACTATACCGAAGTAGCACTGTTGTCATTTTTGTTTGCTTCTTGTTTCTTTTTTAATGATTATTTTAACACTGGAACAGGAGAGCTTGTGAAAGTCATCATTGTAGCATCTTGTCCAAAAATTGTTGCATGTTTATGCGTACTAAGCATTTACTGTATCAGTTCTAGTTTCGTCATTCTTGTCATTTTCAAGCTTTGAAAAAACTGTTGCATGTTTCCTTGTGTAATCAGTGTTTGTAGATTATATGTACTGATTGTATATTGTATTTGTTTACTCTGCTTTTAGATTTATTGAATTTGGTGACTGCCTGATTTTGCCTGATATCTGTTGCTCGTCTTCTGCTAGACTCTTCCATTTTTCCACATTTCCCTTTAACGTTGCATTACACTATTTTGTAAAACTGACTTAATATAAAAAAAATCTGTTGTGATTGTTCTAGTATTGTTAGCCTGTAGTTATTCTGTTGTATCAGAATTATGTGACTATCAGTTGCATAAAATGCATGCTTGTTCTCACGAATGTTTAATAACTATAAATAACAAAATATTATGACATAATTTAATTATTACTAATAGGTATCTTGTCAGAGGCAAAGTTTGAGATGTACTTTTCAAAGTATAATTACTTAATACTATCTCACCATTTAAAAACTACCTCGTGTCTGAAGCCTATTTTCAATTCTGATACGGTATTTATTACACCATTTTACTCTTACAATACCATTCTAGTAATATAATACTGAATAATAATAATGATAATAACAATAACAACAACTAGATGGTACTTGTATGTACTGTATTTCATGTTTTTGCATTATGTTGTACGTTGGTTGTGGCAGTCGATGAGCCACTGTTGATTTATAGTCATATATCACCGTTACAGTTTCAGTTTCCTAATTTTAATTCTTGTGAAACCGCCATTCAGTTTCATTTAGCTTTTTTACGTTTAGTTTTCCACAGTACTATGTGTGTAGTGATTCACTGCATTTCAGCATTCAATATCTTAATTATTTGGTTTTAGTAGATTTAATGAAGTAACACTATTTCAGTTATTTCTGGTGAAGATGATATATTTTGTTGGCAATTTTGTTGCTTTTCTTTAGTGATTACTGTACCATAATCACCCCATCCTCCTCCCCTTCCCCCCCCCCCCCCCCCCCCCCTGAAAAGCATGGCTTGATTTTTATTTATGATTTTTATGAAAGAAAAATTTGTGGATGTTCTTTCATTTTGATGATTGATTCATTTATTCTTTTTAGACACAAGCTTGACTTTATTGAAAGCAAGGTTTCTATCAGTAGCTTTGCAGCTTTTAATACATTTTGTTTTGTGAGGAAAATACCACGTATATTTTTCAACATTTGGTTTTGCTAACACTGTAACATACTGAGAAAGTACTAAGTTACACTAATTTCAAAACTGTATCCTAATGATGATTATTGAATGTTGTGAGTTTAGATGATTTAACTATCGACTACACAGTTTATATTTTCAATATGACACTATTTGTGATGGATATTAACAGTATTTACATTTCTCCCCACATGTTTTTTTCTGGGATATATCTACCTCTTGAAATCAGAAATTTGTAAGTCAAATTTTATACTCCATTTAAAAAAATTTTGTATTACATTTCCACATACATTCTAATTGCCCACTCAATCTAAAACTTCATTTATTGCTCATGAGTTCCAGCAACTGACTCCCATCGCATAGTTGCAAGATATTTACGAATCTTGATTTCCATTTTAAAACTAACTTTTCAACCACATTAATTAACCAGCATCTATCAATCTTTTACTTTCATTGCTATGATATCCAGCCCATTATATAATAAATCAATCAAATGTTTACTAATACTGTACTGACAAAGGTATAAGCCTACCATCGAGTATAACACCCACATTAAGTTTTTGAAGCCAACTTCCTAATATTCAAGCTTCTCCACAGTGGCATAGGGATGGGCAGTGCAGCCAGAGCAAAGCACAGGGACCAGGGTCTGTTAGGGGTCCTTTCAATAAGACCACATAGGTCCCGCTTGAATTATGTACAAATTATTATTAGTTTATATTACAAGTCTGGGCCAATAGTGAGTGGAGCCGGGATTGGGGGGTGGGGGTAAAAATTAAGAAGCATTTACAACAGATTTTCTGAAGATGTGAATCAGTACTCGGACCTAGAATTTTCATTCTTTAAATTCAAAGTATGGCTCATGAAAATTTAAAACGTCAGCCTCCCAGGGTTTCCCCTACCCCAACTAATTAAATGGACCAGGGCCTGTTCTCACCTAGCTATGCTGCTGCTTCTCCACCCAGATATAATACCATCCAATCACCTCAGATGTTTAAAATGGAAATTCTTATCTATGTGTGGCTCAGATTATTATTCCAGGTGTCCCAGGTCTCCCCTGAGTCGGGAAAATTGGCACAGTCTTGGGCCCTGTCGGTAAGCAAAACAAATTTCTTGGAAGCTAACCCATCTCCAGTAAATTCATGATGACTGCATATTTTTACAACTGTATTATTTATTGTCTTCCTGATGTGATCTGGCCAAGGTATCACCACGCATAGTAAAATACAATTAAATGTGTTTGCTAAGAAAGCTCATTTAGTTAATTGAAAACACCTTAGATGTACGGTACATTGTACATTTAAAGACCTAAAATAATGATCCATAAATCACAGGAAACTTAGAGAAGGCATACACGCACATGCATTTGGCAAAAAAAGCTAGTAGTATACCAAGAGTCTCTGTGGGCCTAGGCAAGGCCTCACTGGCAGGGTGTAAGCCCGCTACTACAGTTTAACTTGCCTAAAGTTGAATAATTTCTAAGTCGATCTTATTTTACATGGCACATTGTTATATTTTCTATTAATTAAGAATCTGTAAGTCAAATTTTATCTCAAACAAGTCGAACAATTTTTCAATGGCATTTTGGATTCAACTTGGGCAAGTTTAACTGTATTCACATTCTCTAGTCCCCTGGTATAAGCCCTGCTCCCCCTCCCAAAAATTACTTGGTAAAATAAACGGTGGCTTCTACCTGCATCGGTACAGTAATATAACAATAACATTTAAAAAAAATTAATTTATTAATTTAAAATAAATGCATTCGTCTTAAACAAAACGTAATAATAAATTAATATAATATTCGCAGTGTCTCAGATAACCACAATGTTACAGATTTGAACACATTTTATAATAGAGTAATACTGCCCCCTATAGGAAGTATTAGTTTCTTGCATCTAATGCAGACAATGTCTGAGGTGTTCCCATGTCAGTTATAATGTGAGCGCAATCCCTTTTTTATTCTTTTTTATAATCCCTACCTATATCTCCCATCTCATCTGTAGACATTGACTCCTAATTGAAAGTATATATTTAAAAACCATTAAAAAAATTGAAACAGACATTTGATATATAAATTTTGCAAATTAACCTGTTTAGCCATTTTTTTATATACAATTTTTGGGAAAAAAAAAATTAGCATACTGTATTCTAAAACTGCATGTACTCAAATTTAATCAATATTGTAAGAATCGATCATAGACCAATTTAATAAATTCCGCAAAGCTGCTGTTAACATGTGTATAATAAGCAATAAAATTATGAAATAAAATTACGAAATAAAATTACTGTATATAAAAAATAACTTATAAACATTTTGAATTGTTCAACCTACCCAAACTATGTAATCTATGATGAGTCTACCATAGGCCACTGGTAATTTTATATATATATCTGATCAATTCAGCAAAGCTGCAATTAACTTATGTATTATAAACAATAAAATGATAAATTATGAAATAAAATTATATGATAAATTATTGCATAGGCCATACTACAGCAAATATAACTAAATACATTCTGCAATTAGCAATTATTTTATTTTATTTCTTATTTTATTTCTTAACAAGTATAGAATATTGATATTTAGAATATATCTGAAATTATCTTTTCTTTTGCTAATGACATATTCTTGCGTTGTTTCTTCATCCCGCTTGGTTTACATTCTTCTGGAATTATTTATTTGACGGTGAGTAAAGAGTTTCATGAGTTATTCAAATATTTATGCCCAAAATGTTTGGTGTTTTCAATTTTTTTTTAATTGACAAAATTCTTTCTAATTTTGTTCATGGTGCTGTCTATTAATTCCATCCATTTTTATCAGTTTTTAATTTAGTATAAGTTATTTTACTTTCCGCACCCATTTTTGAATTAGCTTTTCAATTCCTGTTTGTTTTAATATTTTAACTTTACAGTTTAATTCAAGTTCACTTTTTATTTTTAAGTTCTGAGAAGGTAAAGGGAACATTTTTACGGTGAAGGTTACTAACTTGTGCCTTCCTATCGAAATGATTCTTGATCTTTTTCTGTCAAATTTGAAACAGTATTTTTAATTGTGTTCAAATTTTCTCTGTTTTGATTTTACTGATGTTACCTAACATGACTGAATCTTATGCTATCAACGGATGGAATCTAACAATATTTCACACCTTATAATTTATTTATTGTAACCTTATTTTGACTGTTCGCTAATAGTATTTTTAAAGTGATAATCTTGTAGGTATTTTGAACTCAGGCCTGTAACCAGGGGAGTGTGACGTTCGATTAAACCCTCTTTTTCACTGATTTACTACTAGAGTAGTAGTCTATCATAACTTTGTTTATTAAAGATAGACTTCTGATTTAAACTTGGTTTATAGGAAACACCTTCATATGAACATGGTTACGGGCCTGTAACTAAATGTATATAATGTTAAATACATTTGATTATTGGATAACCTGAAGTGGGATCTTTAATCTTTTGGAGTTCCCAGATAATTGCACTAAAGTTCTCAGTGTGTGGCCAAATGTTTAAGCAAATTTAGGTACTCCTGAAATACTGTATAACAAACTAACTTATCTTATCAACCAAATATGTTCTACAGCTTGTTTTTCACCTTTTAAAGTATTCTCATGTAATGCAACTGAGTTTGTAATCTGCACCACTGAAATTTGTGTGCCAAATTTTGCTGAAAGCTTGTCAGGGTTTATAAATATTATTTAGATCTATGTTTACCCAGTGGTTGCACCAGCAAGGATCAGATGCACCAGACAAACATGAACTGTATTGTGCAAACTCATGACAAGGTCGTAGAAATAAAAAGTATTAATTTGCTGATTGATCTCAACAAAGATTAATACTTAATATTGTGTTCTAAAAGTACAGTTTTCTGCCATCCTAAAACCATAAAATCTCCTCAATGAATCCCACCATCGATTTTATTCCAGAACCCTTGCCGAGGCTCTAATTGGTGTTGGTTAAGGCCTTGGTATAGGCGCCTTGGTTCTGTTGGACTTTCTGGAGCCACTATTGTGTACACCATCAACAACATGCCGTTTTAGGGTTGTTTTCTTACCAAATATGTAATTCTTTGCTAAGTCAACGCTGAGATTTTCTTTTTATATTTGAATCTGAAGGTAAACCAAGTAGTTTACATGCTTTAATATGGGGTACCTATTGCTTAATATTACGTAATCGAATTCTGTTTTCATTGAACAAAGCATCTTGGGAATTAATATTATATATTTTCCCTTCCAACTGAGCACACACAATACATTTTTTTAATAAACTGAATTTTCTTTAGAAATTTTCAGTCAAAATTTACACTGAAAATACACAGTTTATTTTTGTTTACTAGAAGAGACCCTAAAAGTACTGTAATGCAACTGTTTCTAGGTAACTTTTTCTAATTTTTTGCAGTATAGTTGCTGTTCTGCTAGTAACAATAGTATATCTGAAGTTGAATAATAGGCTGTAATTGTAATTCCTGCATTCTTGAATGTGCAAATGGACCGTATTGCACACAGCACCAATGGCTGTAACAACATACCAGATATCTATATATAAATGCTTTAGTGATTATTGATTTATTGATTAATATAAGTTGTTCATCAATTCGTATCTGTCAGTCATGTTATCTGCTATCTAGTTGTGTTTCCATTTTTCTCAACATATTTTACTTACTCTCCTATCCTTTTATCTTCATACTTATTTCCATCTATCTGTATGAGGTTTTTTTTTAAATTTTACTGTTGGATAGGGCCAGTTATTTTACTATTAATTAAATAATGATAATAACGATACTAATGGTACGTACTGAATCGGTAACACAGGCCCATTAACATGGCTTCTGTTTATTTTTACAATATGAATTAACATGACTTCTTCTGTGGGAAAGGGATCTAAATTGAAACATGTTTAATATTTTATTTGGTTGTCTGTTAATGCAAGGTTATTTCCTGGTCATCATTTTCATAGTTCTTCGTAACTTCACTATATTTGTATAATAACCAGGAAGTATAAATATACCATCCAGAATAAAGTTAATTTGCATATTAATTAGATACTTATTTGCATATGCATTATATATTTTTCAACAAAACAGGCAAGTTATTGATAATGTCAGTTTGCTTCATTGTTGTTTTGTTATTGCCAGTAAATAATTTGCATTTTTTACTATGCATTTAATAGATTGTGATTTTTAATCACGGGCATTTTGCTTGATATTGTTGTAAGTTATTGTATACACCCAGCAAGTTGTTGACGCCCTCGATGTCCAGGAGTTCAAGATGAAATCTCACTACAACCTACCAACATGGAGTTCGGTTAAACCAAATAATCTTGATTAAACTTACATTTCTTGTGTGTTTTTTTTTATCGTTAATGCTCAGGAGGAACCAAAGGAGGACTTTAGTCATTTACAACCTAATCAACAGAAAAAGAAACTGGCTGAGAAAATTGATGAGCTGAATGCAAAGATTGACAAGGAACAGAAAGAAAGGTTATTCTTTTAAATTTTAAAAGCAATCAGAAAATGATCTCACAGCATATAATCCTTCACAATCCTCTCAAATATTATCACCATAATTCTCCACATATAAGACCATACCCTACCTCTTCAATAATTTTCATGCAAATTGTTCCATGTGGGTAATCCAACCCCAAATTTTCGACTTTGGAGCTTTGGATTGAGAAAACCTACAAGTTGTGTATGCCTTGGATAACATACTAAACCTGATTACATGTTCGGGCATACAGTGTGGTAGGGGTTGCTGGGGACTAGTACCAAGAAAGTAAATCCAATCCTATATATCTTTTAAATGTCTGACATTTAATATCGATACTTACATCATAATTATAAATTTGATTGACTCTACTAGAGAGGGTCTGTTGAAGATGCGTGATGTTTACACAAAGAACACATCGCTAGGTGACCCCACATCAGTGGATGGGCAACTACAGCAGATTGGCAAGCGAATGGATGAATACAGACTAGAACTGCAGAAATATCAGGTAAGCATTAGCATTTTAGTTCCTAAATTATTTTAATTAATGGAAACCAATGGTAATAGCTCCCTTGTTGCATATATTAACATTAATTACAGATGTAGTAGGTTTTTAAATGACAGTGAGTTTTATACTTATATTTTGGACTTGGACCAAGAAACATCAAGTCATGTGATTTTTTTACATGTTTTTCATATAGGACACTAGTCCAACATCAGGCTTGGTACTCTAAGCTACTGGTTTTTGTTCTTTCTTATTCTTCTAATGAATATCAACACAAGCTAATCAAGATATGGAAACACCTGTTTTTTTTTTCATCTAAAATCCTGTCCAAGCTATCAAATTTTCTTTGACAAAAATTTTGATAATCTGGACAGATCATAACAAAAAATTATATCTAGCTGAGAACAAATAATCAATGTCTTATCTGCAAAATCATCTAAAACATATACTATATATACTTAACAAAGAAGAGACAACTTTTAAATAAATGGCCTAGAATTGAACATAATATGATAACAGTGCTATTGTTATATAGACCATTCTGAAAATTCTTAAACACTCTTTTAGAAAAAACAATAGATAAACAAAATATTATATAGAGATAATTTTTACGAATGTTATATAGAGCATTCTGTAAAATCTTAGATAAACAAAAGTTTGTTGTAATTTAAGTAGCAAATATTTATTGAAGTTGACAAAAAAAAATGGATTTTGGACATAAGTTTGTTAAAATTAAAAAAAGAACTACATTGAATCTGATATATAATAATATTGTAAAAATTATATAATATATACCACACTTGGCATCCAAGATAAGTCTAGGCTCCACAAGACTAGTCTGCCTGCTTAAAAATTAAATTTGAATATTTGAATATTGTTGTAAGCCAACCACTCCAAAATTCCAGAGTCAATTTTTTTCACTATTGAATGTAATTTATAGAATTGGTAAAACTTCAATAAATAGTTAGGGCTTAGTTTTTAAAACAAAATTTAAGGCTTTATAGTTATTTTAATTAAAGTTGATAGGTTAATATATGCTACAGAGATAAAGTATAAATATTTCTGAATATTAATATCCAATCAAAGTGTAGGTTTTGTAACTTCATAAATGTTTTAAACAGTTCTCAGTCTGGTGGTATATAAATTATATTATTTATTATTTTTATTAATAACTTTGCGGATTGTATTTTCCATCTTTAAGAGACGCTCATGGTGCCTTCCATCTCATGCAAGTGCAAAAATTTTATTAATTAAATTGTTGTAATAATTAGTGATAGTTATTTGGTTTGTTAAATTTAATAACTTGAATAATGTTTTGTAGTCTTGTTATTTTTATGTTGGTTAAGGATTAATTTATAGTATTTGCTTTCTACTAATCGTCATCAATGTGTTATCTTGTCATGTATGATGTTATATACCAAAAATATTCTTTATCATTTGTCATATTTATAGATACTATATTATACATTTTTCATTTCTTTTTTTATTTTTGCATTTTGAAACCTACTTCTGTTTGGCAACTTTTCATTAGTAGTCCATTTATTATGTGGAAACAGGGTTTTTGTCATTTGAGGGATTGTTTCCACTATAAATATTTTTAACCATGTTGCTTATGCTATAATGTAAGTAATATACCAAAATTTAACTTTCTCATCACCGACAATTACAATCGAATGTGGTTGTTAAACATTTTGTGTGATTACTTTGGCAGAACAGACATTTACAAAATAATATATCCAAGTTTTGGTGTGCCATATTTTATTTATTTGTTGAGGGGTAACTAGCACAAATTTTAATATACAATACATTTTGACATATTCTACTTGAAAATTTCAAAATTTTGTTTGATGCTGTGGAAAGCAAATTTAATTTATTCATTCCTATAAATCAGTTAAGATTTTGATGCCCTTCTTTCCGTACCTCCAGAAATATGTGGGTAATGCACCATATAGCAATAGTAGTAATCGCAACGTAAGTACAAAACTTAACCCTCATAATAGTATGCATGTTAACAATCACGCATGGTTTACTGCAAACTTTATTTTTCTTTCATTTCAGCTTCATGTTCTTTTTTTTTTTTTAATGCTTTATTTTGGTTCACTTTTATGCTTGTTTAATGATTCTTAGATTCTTTTTGGTTTTCCTATGTTCAAGAGTTTTTTGCTTGGTTTAGTTTTTTTGTATTTCCTTTAAATCAACCTGCAGTCGTTTGAAGCTGAAGCTACAGTAGAATCTTAGAATAATGATTAGTTGGCATCTTCATTTGAAATAATACACATTGTCGTGCATTTATTAACCTATCAGTAGTGGTAATTGTATTAAAATGATTACGCTTTAATTTGGGTTTATAAACTATTATAACTATCATTTCGGCTAACTATAAGTAATAGATAATGTAAATGCATACATGGTTCTTGTTGGAGATAGAACAAAAAAAGTCTAGATGAGGTCCTGATGACTGGCAGCTGATGCAATGCAGGGCCTACCATCTACCACCAATCACTATTTAGCCAACATGGTTCTATCATGGAGGTATATTATACCTCCATGGTTCTATGGAGAACGATGTGCATGTAATAGATTGCTTTTAATGATGATCCGTTCAACTGCCACCAGGGGTTTAGCCAGAAAAAAGAAATAGTTTGTCCAGAATGGAAGACGATCACTTGTTGCGTAGCAATAGCTGAGGCGCGAACCCCCAAGCGGGGGTGGGTGGTATTTGCTAAAGGTAGACCAGCCCCAACTAGGCTATGCCGAGCTGAGTAGGCCAAGCCATCACAGTAAAAATGACCGATATAAATAATTGTTGGCCGTCCAAAAGACGACCGGACTGCTCGCTGGCTAAGCCTTTAACTGCCACTGAAAATCAGTAGATGGCTTTGCATCGTCTGACAAGGATTGGATTCAGCGTACTACCGTTGCATAAAGGTTGTAAAATGCAGTCAGTGCCCAGCTTTAAAATATAGCGTCCCCTCCAAGGGACAAGGTTATTAGAGCAAAAGATGACACAAATAAGAACAGCATTGGGCAGGTTCTGAACTCGGCCTTACTTGACGTTCAACCCTGCATTGCTGTGAAAACTTGCCTTCTGATAGTATTTATTAATTTGCTAAATTCAAATTTATATACTTCGCAAAAAATAGAAAATTTCTTCAATAAGTAATAATATCTTGTATCGTGAGTATACTCCTATTTGGTATTTAAAATGTTAAGGCGAAAATGTGTTGCTTTAGCCTAAATGATCCACGCATTTTATTTCTCAAGGTGGGAGTTCAGAGTACTTGTAATGTGTTTGAAAAGGCCTTTTTGTAATCTTTAATTAATAATTTTGATAAGTTAACCTTGAATATTTGTCATGTGAGCAATTTCAATCCAAAATGCATGGGGTGAGTGATGATTAACTGTTAACTCTATAATTGACTGAACAACTGAAATGAAATTAAAAAATAAAAAACAAATTTTTAAAACTTATTTATTTAGTACAAAGTAGAAAGTATATCCTTCATAAATAAAATACAGAATAAAGAAACTAGATAGGTAATTTGGCTGCGACATGGCATAGATAGTTGCTTTAGTGTTAATAAATATAATAAAATCATAATTATATAGCGCCTTATGAATTGCAGATCCCTCTAGACGCATTAACTTAAGTCTTGAACTATGGTGGAAAATTATTCTCGCCATCAACCCGGTATACCTGAATGTTGTTGTGATTTATTAATTAGGGCCTATTAGATGCTAAATATAAAAGAGGCGTTGTATAAAATGCCTTTCAAAATCATCACCATTATAATAATCAATGTATTTGCTGAAATTGTTTGAAAAAAAAATGCTTCTTCCTAAAAATTAATAATAAGACTCAAGGTTGCTGTGTTATCATTTAAAAATTCCTATCATATCTCATTCCCTTTCACACTTTGTTTGGCTCAAAATGTATCTCATCTTTCCTTCCCCTGTTATAGTTTATGCTTCATGTGAATACATGTGTGCTCACCTCATCATACTTCTGTAAATGCAAATGAAGCATTTACAGACCAACTAGCCTTTGAATGACGTTTTGGCCTATTTGCATGCCGGTGTTAAATATATACTGCCATTTGAAATTAAGAAATTATAAAAAATGTTAATTGTAATACTTAATGTATGCTATTAGCTAAAAGTTCATCACCAGTATATTTAATACCATTGTAAAGTGTTTGGTTAACTTAAATTCTTTGGCAAGAAATTTATGGATTTTCTAAGTAAAACATATTGTAACTTATTGAAAACTGTTTTGATCTGATAATTGATGTGGTTTGTTTAAATAGGCAAATTGAAAATTTCAATTGTGATATTTTTTGTGGCAGTATATTTTAAATGAATCAAAATAATTAAGCAGGTTTACTTTTCCTGAAGTATAATAAACAATCTCGTGCATTTTTAGAAATTGATTCCACAAAGGAAAGATATGTGGAGTTTCTTACTTTGATTAATTCAGTTACATAAAACATATTTTTGTGGGTTCAAAATTGCACCATGCAAATTCCATCCTTCATCTGAGAAGCCAAGTAGATGTTGGATTCAAGTACTTAGTACCAACATAATAATATTTAATTATTAAATATATTAATTATTATATATTATAATTAAATAAAATAAAATAAGTTATTAATTTACTAATTATGATTATTAATCATCAAATTGATGATTTGATTGCGTTATTCACTGCCTGTACCTATACATACATTGATAACTATTTGTTGTCATTTATCATTATTGGAAATTATTGATCAATATAACAATATATAATTATTGGACCTTATTGGTAACCATTGATTAGTAATAATCATTGGTCCATATTGATAATTGTTATATTTATAACTGATTCTGGAAAAATTGTTTGGTGATTGCATGTGTGTTCCAACATTATAAGTTGTTTATTATTAATCACTGATAAATACAAAATAAAGTATTGATTCATATTGATAAATTGGATCAATAAATTATAATTTAATTGTGGGAAGCCTTCTCTTGTGGTAAATTGATATGTGTTCTCGATCACGTTCTTCTTGTCACTTTTACTCACATTTCATCTGGAAGTTGTCACATGACTACAGCTTTTACTGATGTTGCTTTTGTCGTTAGTTCATTTGTGTCTGTGATGTCGCGGTAACTTGTGATCTTTAGTTAGTTGTATTCATCGTAGTGTTAACATTTCACCAACTTAAGTATAAATGTTAAAATCCTTCAACAAGCTTTAACATATTTTCCTTTCATATTGTTTGTTGATGTTTGTATTTGTAGTAAACAGTTAAAGATAGATTGTCTGTGTATAAGCAAAAAAGAAATTCCTGAACATTTAATTTATTGTTAAAATTGCTGTCCAGTAATTAATGTGTTTTTTTCAAAATTAAATAATGCCATTCCTAACCTATAAATTGACTTGTAATGAATCCTCAAATTAACAAGAGTTAAATTGCTTCTACCAATGTCTTATTGAACCATACCATATTTAACGCTTTTAAATGAGCAATTGTTTTATTATTGTTTTATTTTATCATGTTTTCCAGACTTAAACACAGACAGTATATTTGTTAATTGGTTTAAGTACGTTGCTTACATATGTTATCAATTTACAATGAAAACAACAACATGATTTTAATAAGGTTCCGATTTTATTGGTGATATATCTTCTCTGTAGCTATATTGTTGAATAGTGTACAGTTATAAATAATGTTATGTTACATTTTTGGAGTATAAATTAATAAGTGATATAAAATTATGTTATTGGTGGTTATAATGGTATAACAGGTGGGCCAAAGAGTTAACAGTATGGACGCCATACAGACACAAAAGAAAAAGAGGAAGACCTAACAAGAGATGGAGTGATCTTTTCCAGGAGCTTGGTGCGAACTGGGCAAATCTGGCAAAGAACAAATCAGAATGGAGTTTAAGGAGGCCATCGGCCAGCAGTGGCCTGACAGGATGATGATGATGATGATGATAAAATTAATGATGCATAATATAAAATTTAATTAAAAATGTTTGTGTTTATAGTTGTGGTTCAACATATATGTTACTTAAATCGGCATTGAAAATAATATCGTTCTTTAATATTCTAATTTTTGTAATACTATTACTTTTTGATTTAATAGTCGTACATGGATAAAGCTGAAGGAAAACCTGTGACTACTTCGAAGGCTCAAACACCAGCTAAGGAGCAAACTAACAATCCCAAGCAAACTGTAACATCTCCACCTCCGCCGGACTTCTCGTCATCCATCCCAGCGCCACCACCTCTTGATGGTCTTGCCAGCACACCTTCCAGTACACAGTCCATGACTATTACATCACCTGCTAACTCTACATTTGACAATAGCAGAAATAGGTACAGTTTACATATATCTTGGTATCTATATTTGCAAAAAATTGTTCAAACAAGAAAAATACATTGTTGTATTTGTTTTTATTTTTTTTAAAAGCCTACCCAACTGGTACAATAAAACATGAAATGGCATAAACTAATCAAATTTATATATATATATATATATATATATATATATATATAAATGTTTGTAGGTTCCACGTATGTCTTGATTATATAAAATGAGTACGAATGCACAAAGTAGAGTCGTATACGTTGACATAATAGACATAAGATAATTTTTTATTTTGAATATTTCGAGCACGCATGTGCTCTTCCTCAGCGATAACATGTATGATTAAAAAAGCTTTACAAACTAGCAATAGGGGATAAACCTGTCTCTTATACACATCTAGATGTGTATAAGAGACAGACGTAGTAGCACGGTGGGCAGTGAAACTGTGCAGTATTTCTCACATGACAAATACCATTGGTTCTCATTATATAACCGAATTAGAATTACAGGCATTATTCTTGTTATCATCACCACCATCATCATCAACACCATCATCATTACCATATGAGAGTTTCCTGATGCTAACACATAGGCCTATCGAAATATCATCATTATCATTATTATTATTATCCTCAATATCGTATGATATTTTGACGCAACCACGCATAAAAAAATATAAATTATCATCATTATCATTATCAAAATTATTATCTCATTTTCATCATTGTCATTATGACTATTTTTATTTGATATTAACAATTGATTAACAATTAAAATGTATGTACCTCCAGACACACACTCGGGTGTGGTTCTGATAGTTCACCATTTGCATCTTTATCAATCCGACGCGTTATTTCAAGCTACAAGAAAATACGTTTAAAAAAATTATAATAATAATAAAAATAATAATAATTAAACAAGAGTCTGAGCAGATGAAATTTATTATCTACAATAATAACACTGTAATATGATTTTTAACAACAGCAATGGTAATAGGCTTCCTATATTACTAATTTAAAATTCTAAAAAAATATATAATGAGATAACAACTACAAATCAACAATAGCAGTAATGGAAAATGACATTTATTATTATATTCACACAATAGATTGACGTACCTTCAATGCATGCATGTTCTTGATTTTGACGGCTCCCAGACTCACTAAGTGATCATCGAAGTCAAAGTCACTACGATTCCGAAACAATTTTGAATAATCGCTTCTACCTTTCTCTATACTGTGATATAAGTGTGTGTGTGTGTGCTTATACTTGTTTAAACTCAAAATATTCACATCTTTTTCCTGGTGTGTTTTATTTGTAACTTGTATAGTTTTGCCATTTCCTTTGCTATTTCATATTCTTAGATATTAATGCTAAGCAAGTGCATGCATACTTAAGCATGCTTTAAATCCTGGTGTCTGTATCAGATTCAGATAGTAAACAGCATATGAATTAGACTAGTATATATTAGCTTTCATAATCAGAATAGTAAAACTTCATATTGTTTTTGTCGCCTGTTAAAATTACAAATTGATGGGCATAGTCTTTATAACCTTCATTTAGTATCCCAACTATGATAGTTTTTAATATAGTCATTATAAACTGCAAATTTTATTTTATTTTTATTTATTTATTTATTTATTTATTTTGTTATTTGGGGATTTAATTCTTCTGAAATCTTTGAGTTGTAAGGCAGAGTGGAATTTGGCAAAATTAGTTTTCCTGGTCTTAGGACTGTAGGTTATTTTGTATACCAGGGATATTATTGAGGTTATAACAAAATCTAGGTATGTTTATCTCATTTTGCTACATTTACCTAACTTAAAATGTTCATTTACATTTACATTTAACTAGCAGCAAGAGTTTTCATGGAACCTCTATGGTAAATCATTTAATTTAAAAACAGTTGTCTCCTCTTGGCTCAACAATAACCTCAGCTGCCAACTCTTCTGTAACCTTTCCTAATTTGTATCACCAGTTGATTTGCAAAATGTTTTTTCAACCATAGCAGGGTGATGCTGGCCAATATCTGGGGACCCTCTTAATATGTGAAATAATGTGATGATTTAAAATTTAAGTCTCATTATGAGATGGGTGGAGATGTTGTCAAGCATTGTAACCACTAAACTACATTCTGATACAATTGTTCATTGAAACCTCTTAAATTAATATCACCAGTTTAAAGATAAGATATTACCATTATTAAAGTATCCATCTGAATTGAGAATTCCCTACCATCTATCCAACTAATCAGGACTTAATTTTTTGGTATCTCCTTACTATTAGTATTGTTTTTATATTTTAGTATATGTTACAATATGAATATTAATATAAAAACCTGTGTTAGTAATTTACTTCATTAGGTTGGTAGTACCCTCTCAATATTAGCGTTTACGTTTATGTATGTAGTGTTCAAAATTGTCATGGTCTATTAGACATAGGTAGCTTATGTAAGCTAGTAATGATCTAATCATCTTAGCTGTAAGAGTAACAAGTTAATATTATAATTATGTATCATTATTTCTGCCTTTTTGTAGGACATTTGTGAAAACTCAACTTGGGTTGTGTTTTTGAAATTTTTTGCCAAAATGGTTGTAAACGTTAAAAATAAGTAAAACAAAATGATTGATGTAAAAAAACATATTTTAAATTCTTAGGATTATTTAATCTAGATTTAGTTTTGCAGATCATAAAGAAACCCGTCGTTTTTGCTGGGATTGATATTTGTTTATAAAATGATTAAAAAAAAATACAAAACTTGCGCATAAATTGGCATTTTGTAGCACATTATAGCAGATAATTGCTAGGAAAAAAAATACAAATTTGCCACAAACATATAAAAAAGGTTCTAATATGCAAATACTGCAATTACGTACATTAATAATGTATGATTTATTATAAAATGAAAGAAGATTATTGTTTCGCTAATTTTTACAGTGGAGATATATTTGTTCTTGCTCATGTAGTTTATAGGTCAGACTACAGAACTTGTTCTTAGAGTTGTTACAATATCCTTGGAAGCCATTGAAATATATGCGTATGTAAAAAATTTGCCAGAACACTGTTCATCGGCATAGGTTATGCAACCAAGGTCAGTTGTTTATATAGGAAGTTGTTCCAACATGAATGATCTTCCAGCATTTTGTATATAAGTTTAAATGATGGGGATATGTAGTGGAGAACATTTTCTGTCAATGGTGTTTAGCATATTACTCTCTTCCTCACAGGAAAATAAATGATTTGTACCTAGAAAAGGTTGTTGATAAATACTACAGTAGAGGCAACATCAATATATCTAGTATGTTTGTTACACTGCTAGAGTCCAGTAGAAGAAATGCACAATAATACATTGTTAGATTTCATATAACTACCTTCAATATATTCTTATAAATTTATTGAAAAAATATTACAGGATCAATTTGAATTTTATTTTATACCACTGTGGTTTTCATTTGTAGTGCTAGTACTGGCATTTTATTTTTTTAAGCACCAAGTCTAAACCATTAAGCCTGTTTTGCACTAGGCGAATTTATTCGCGCGAATCAAAGCGATTATGTAGTATCAGTGGTGGCTCAACAAATTTGCTAGGGGTTCCCCCTCCCTAGGGGTTCCCCCTCCCCTTGCTGGCGCTGTCACTTCATAGTATGTAGGATAATAGACATCTGCAAAAATTTATAGCAATGTTTGATGAAATTTAAATGCATTCCTGTAAGGTGCTGATTGGTCGATGATGGGTGCCCAGGAGATATGCAAATGACCTAATGTTTATACATTAACATAATCTGTTACTGTTAAGATTTTTTTTTTGTATTATTTGTGTTAGATTCCACTTAGGTTTATAACAAGATTTCTAATTGCACTTGTACTATTATTATAATTGGTAAAGTTGAAAACTTTTAGAAGGTTTAAATTTAGCCACATATAAGTTTCTGAGTATATTTTGATATCCATATACCCTGGGTATAAAATGGATGTCAGTTTACTGAAGTTCTTATCTCTGATATACATAATTCTTTTTAGGGATTCCTACAAATTCTAATGAAATCAGGAACAGCCTGAGATTTTTTATTACTTACATTATGTGTTTTATGGTTTTCATATAAATTGTATGTAGATGAGTAATAGAAAAAATATTTGTGTAATCAAATTGGTAATCAATACCTAACACATTGATAAACCTGTTTGTACGGTTTGAAATGGGAATCTGTGTCATTCCACAAAATGTGTTGTTAATTTAAACTTTATACCAATTTGTGATTACCAAAACCTCTACCAATAGCCAATAACTTAAATCACTGTTAGCAAAATAATCAGTACCTTCATTTTGTTCACAAAAGAGTATGCAAGTAAATTAAATTGAATGTTTATACACCATAAAGGAATTGTCTACAAATTTTATGTGACAAAAAAAATGTGATGTGCCATATATGGGTACGATGACGTCATATCACATATTATCAAATTGTATCAAAAAAAGTTGAACGTGTTCAACTCAATGTTCCATCACATTTTATGTGACACTTTTTTTGATGAAATTTGATAGTGTAGACAAAGCTTAATGGAGAAAGATTCCTTTTATTAGTTATGTAATTTTTGAGTTGTTTCTGTAGATTATATTCTCCATTGTTATAACTTCCTTTTTGATTCGATGATGTGTACTCCTACCATACATAGAGTTATCAATTATATTTTCTTTACTACTGTTTTAAGTACTTGTCTTTCAATACATTTAATCATACATAATTAATTTTGATCATGGCGCCAATCTGAGAAAGAACACAACATTATGATGTTCTAAAAGTCGATGATTAATTTGTGAAGGTTTCTTTGTAAACTTGCGCGATAACGTATGCTATTGACTAATTTATTTCTTTATCTTCAATTAAAAGGCATTGGTGATTGCTGAACACTTGTGTCATTTGTCATCAAATTAATTGGGTTAAATTTGTAGGCATTATATTTAATTTTTTTTACTATTTGTACGAAATGTATTTATAAATCATAGTGATATATCGTGTAACCACCAATTATTTGATGTCGCTCTAGAACTGGTTTCCTTTGATTGGCATACTGTTGATGTAATAACGTTGATTCAAAGAATTCTGGATAATTGCAGCGAACATTAGTTATCATTGAAAATGATTTCTTTTTAATGATCAGCATTATCTGTTTCAAAAATGAATATTTTGGTTGCGTAACAATGATAATGCAGTATACAAGATTTAATTTGTTACTAGAATATATTCAATAGGCCTATATAGTATACAAGTACGGCCTATACAGTATACATACATGTATGGTGTACTTGGCATGGTGTGCCTGGCATATGGTATACTTGGTAACATGTACTTGGCACGGTGTACCTTGCATTGTGTACTAGCTACAAGACCATCAAACTATGTCCAGTGATGTGTAAATATACATTTTATTATTTACAAGCAAATTACGCCTTGTATATTATTTTGTAGTTTGTGTCTATGGTTTAGTTTCAGGCTGTTTAGTTTTGTTCTGCAAACAAAATACTGTACTGCTTAAATTCTGTAAAATAAATAAATATCTATGCAACAGGTTAAATAAATAAATCCATTTTAAGAGGGTTCCAAAGTTAATTTTGCCTAATAATCTTATAATCCTTTTTCACTGGCTTGGAAGAAGTCAAATTATTCATCATGAGTTGGTGTGGATAAGCAGAATACCCAAATGATTGTGGACCCATTGTGCAATTCTTGACAAGCAAGCTCAGTGAAGTTAATATCCTGCCAATAAAATAATTATACGGTACTGTAGTCAGCGGTGGTACCAGCAGAAACAGGGCTCTGAATAAAAGTTTGCAGTAGAAACAGTTCCTTAATGTCAACTAAATGCTTTTTGATTGATTCACTCCAACACACAGGGCCAAAATTTTGGGACATTTTTGGCTATTTTAAGCCTTTCTGAGATGTAGGTTGTGTTGCAGTATGTTCAAATAATTATAAGGAGGGTGGGGGGATTTTTCAGGTTCAAGACATGGTCAGTGGGGTGCTTTATATCTGCTCTCTCTGGCGCTGCCACTTCTACCATCGTCACCAAGTTCATACCCCTAGATACACCACTGCCCTCAATTCCACTGGCGCAATCTCTGCTTTCAGTAACTTGAGAATCTTGTACGTTTTCATAATTTTATTCAATATTTTGTAGCATCAAGAAGAGTTACAGTTTATATACCATTTTAGACTACAGTATATACCATAGTAAAAACAAAACAGTAGGCCTACCATTATATTTCTATTGTACAGCAACTAAATATAACATGTTTCCATTTATTTTCACTAGCTCACATTTGTTTTTTTTGACAAACAAAGCTAATGAAATATTTACAAACAATTCACAAATTAACTTGCTAATTTTGGGAATGCTCTTGTAGAGCATTACGATAGAAATACGATACAGTCAATTAAAAGAACCAAGAAAGTATTTATCAGGAGAAAAAAAAATTTAAACTATGCGAATTCACTTGAGAGTGGAAAGGTGAAAGTGAGTGTTAAAGGGTGATTGTACGACAACAGAATATTAGTACCGGATTCAAATGAGACAGTGTTATACAGGAAGTGCGTTAAAATTTAACAATTGTCCGATACAATATCGTAGGTTAAAGAAGTCGGAGCCTGTAACACTTCTACGGTATTTAGCTTGGATCAGTGTGCATGGTTACACCATGGTGCTTATCTTTCACTGTAGCCTTGCACATAATCTTCACTATTTGTGACCCAAGCTCACAAACGGGCTGTAAACTCGCACTCCACTGTATTGAGAACAAGCCTCAATACCCAGAATAGGGTGTAGAACGTGAATTTTGTGTAATAAATAAAGTATAACTATTAATCTTACTATTCCTGAAGTTTGAGTTTAAAATTCCAACTCTTAAGAGGTAAAATTTAGCCATTTTCGGATGGGAGCTAATGAAAAATGAATAGAAACCTGCCTAAAATAAAAGCATTTTTCTAAAAACTTGATTTAAGAAAGTTGACAAGATGACAATTATTCAAACGGTCATAACTTTGCTTCCAGAGACCCGATTGAGTTCATTTAACTGTCATTTTAAAGTAAATGATATGTTCTATGCCATTATAACAAAAACTCATTTTGGTCTAAAGAACAAGTTTACAGCCTGTTTGTGAGCTTCGGTCACATTTGTGTATCAGTTTTTTTAGCAAGGTTTCAAATTCACTTGTGTGAAGACCATTGCAAATGCATTCATGTTATACATTAGTTGCACATGAATCGGGCTGGGGCGGATGCAGGATTTAGCGGTAGGCTTGGGTGGATCCAGAGCTTTCCGAAAGTGGGACTGATCGAGATAATACTGTACTACCGTAGGGGGTCCAGGGAATACCCCGCGAAAATAATTGTGTTCTAGACGCCAGAAAATAACCTCAGAGGCATTTTGGGCAATCAATTTTTCCTTTTTCTTTCTTTCTCTTCCAAAAGGTGACCGGGGCCGGCCTGGCAAATCTTCCCCCGGTAGAGGGGGTTGAGGTGACAACATTTTGAGAATGTGCATCTCTTGGTGCCTGGAAATTGCAGTCTCATACTTTAAAAACCTTACCACAAAATAATAATCAACAATACAATAACAATTTTCTTAATACAGTGTAAATCGCAATTTGCAAATTTTTTAAAAATCTGCGGGATGTGTCGAAAACTGAAGTGTGATTGTTTTGAAATACTGACTGTTGTTAGATGAACCACCAGTAGCGAAGGTAGATCAAAAACGTTACTATGATACTTGTTGCTGCTGCGATCTTTGCATTGCGAGATCGCAGATTCAGGTTTTTCGCATCTCGTTTGTACTTCTCAGAGTTAAAAACCAAATTTGTTGCTTTAACATCCAAATCTAAAAAATAAAAAATACTAATGTTCCATTCAAAATGTCATTATCAAAACTGCATACAGTGCAAAAATTGGAAAATTTGTTTAAAGATTGTACTGTAGGTATATATAATTATAATGGTCATTTAGTGGGACAGTGGGGTGGGATAAATAATTATTTTCTTCCAGAGGCAAATGGTTTGTTTAAAGAGTTTAAACTTATAACACATATTTTTTGTGTTTGTGTTAGTCATTGTTTCTGGGACCACAATGGAAATAAGTTGGCGGTTTGGGTACTTCATTGTGTTTTTTTATCCCTGAATTCTGTTATGTTTAGGGTAGGTTTATGCCTACAGTGATGTAAAAATATCTGTCTCTTATACACATCTTAATACTGTACTACCGTAGGGGGTCCGGGGAATACCCCCGCGAAAATAATTGTGACGCCAGAAAATAACCTCAGAGGCATTTTGGGCAATCAATTTTTCCTTTTTCTTTCTTTCTCTTCCAAAAGGTGACCGAGGCCGGCCTGGCAAATCTTCCCCCGGTAGAGGGCGCGTAAGAATCCGCACCACCCCAGCTTCACCATGGTTTGGGTTGAGGTGAGAACATTTTGAGAATGTGCATCTCTTGGTGCCTGGAAATTGCACTCTCATACTTTAAAAACCTTACCACAAAATAATAATCAACAATTTTCTTAATACAATTTATGGGGGGTGCGCTCACACCATCTGCACCCCCTCTGCATCCGCCCCAGTCGGGTATTAGTTGTTTATATTGCTCATGTTTGTAGTTAACATTAACACATTTGCTGCCATGCAGTATGACAAAGTCTTCCCCCTCTAGCTACAAATTTTAATGTGGCTTTTCTATTTGCATGTGAAAATAAAGTTTCCCCAGCATTATAACAGTAATACAAAAATATAGGGATTTGCGAGTATATTCATCCCTGGCCTATCTGCAACACACTGTAAAAGACAAGTATTCTTGTTGAAGATGTAACTATCACAATAAGATACACTTTGGGAAAACCCTAAGAGTTCAATTAAAATATGAATTGCTTATTTCAATAAATTAAATTTATAATCAATATAATTTGAGAAAAAAAGTTTACGAATGATGATACAGTATAATTGATTACAAGCTGATTAATGGCCTGCACAGAATATAGAAGTAAACTGTTAAAATACTGTCTGTTAATTGGCAAGATAATTATTTTCTGATTATAAATTTTTAATTAAAAGGCAATTGAGGTTTGCCATTCTAAAACCAGCGTAAAGTTGCTAATTGTTAAACTGAGTAATTAGCATAAGAATGTGGCAGCATTGTATACTTTAATACAGAGAAGCTGTAATACTTTTACTCATAACATTGGCAATAATAAGTCAATTCCAGTAAATAACCCATCATTTTAAAGCTTACAATGTGGAGAATATGAATATATTAAATAGGATAATGGTTTTGGGATGGCAAGCCTCAATTATTTAAATATTACTGGATAAACTAAGAAATTTAAATATTCAATTACATTATTCATTATATCAACACAAACAGTTACATGCTTAATGAGTCCTCAAAACATAATTACATAATTTAACTATACTCTAATTTTTATTCTTGAAAAATATTTATTTCAACAAGAGTACAATAAATGATGCTATGATTTGGTATATCCTTTAAAGAGAAAGAAATAATCTACATAGTTCAAACCAATACACTAACTACAATTTAAAATGTATGGAATGTCACCACTATGACATTTCACAGTAAAAGTGATATCTACACTATTAAATTTTATGTGACAAAATTGTGTGATTTGCCCATAATGGGCAAGATGTCATATAACTCCCATTAATTGGGACAAATCACAGGTATTTTCACACAAAACTTGAAAGTGTAGACAAAGCTTAAGAATAACCATAAAAAATAATACAAATATTAAAAAAAAAATCATATATACAATTACTAAACACAAATGTCGATTCAAAAACAATTCATTTGACTATATACAGTACTGTAGATATACTGTATATTTATTTTAATGACATTACACATTATGATACACTACCGCAAGTTAGATGAAATCTATTCTGGGGGAATTTTTAAAAGGTTGACATTTTCTATGCTTTGATATCCAAAATAAATACCAAATACCTGGACACCTTAGTGATAACGCCAATGAACCTTTCCGCTAAACCCTACTCCTTGGCTATTGATGCCAAGGTCCCACAAAACAACAGCGTACATGTACGTGTTTGTGGGACATGCACATTTTCTTGGCATTGTTCTGACTGATCAGTTGTTAAGTTTGCCTGACACTCCAGAAAGGTCCATTACACCCGAAGCCCACATTATTATGTAAAATAATTTGATGGAATACAAAGCTTTGTTTTCGACTTTGAGAGTTTGCCTACCAGTAGTCCATCGCCTGCAAACTCTGCATTTGACAACAGCAGAAATAAGCAGAGTATGCAATTTCAAAGGGGAGTGGAGCTAAAGGTTAATGGAGATGCTTGCCACTTAATCATTTCATCCAAAACCTGTAGGAACCCAGATTTTTTTCTCCACTCCCTAAACCATATTACAAGACTGAATACCTGTATTCTTAAAACAAACTTTAGAACTACTGTACTTTGAAATAGCAGTGGTTGTTGTAGCATCATTTTAGAAGTGACACTTTGCATTACCTTTCATGAGCAACGTTAATTTCACAGTATACTGCATGTGGTATTTTCATTTCATCTAAAAAAAAAGCTAATTTGGAATGTTTTTTTAAGCACATTAATGATGCACTGAACTTCCACACACTTAAATACACATACTGTACACGTTACCTTACAAGAAGTTTTTAGTGGGGTATGAGGGCTGCTATCCTAACGATTTACTTTAGCAATATTTTTAGTATTCTTTTATTGAAGGGTCCAGGAATGCGCTAGAGTGAGGGCGCATGGTGATTCCTTGGAGAATGTGCATTCTGTTTTGCCAGACATTTTTTAAAATCTTTTTTTTGTGAAACGCCTAAGCTTTTTGCATTATGCACTATATAACTTATTATGAATATATATTAAAATGTTGTATTGTTTCTAGGCTACTCATTTTTTTAAAATATACATTTAACCAAGTTTATTTTGTAATGTATTTTGCCTTGGCATATATGGTGCTCAAATTTTTTTGTTAAGAAATGTTTTTATCTATGTTAAATTATTTGTGATTAAGTGATTCATTTAAAGACCTTGTCATATTTTACTTAAAACAGTGCAAATTTGGTAGAATGAAATGAATGATTTTGGTGACTATTAATTATCGCATTTCCCAAATTTGCATTTAGTTGTTGCGTACAAAGGAACATACACACCCACAGGGTTCTGGTTTTGCATACTGTATGAATCTTGTAAACAAAATTATTTCAGTGGTAGTGTACCAAACTACCTTTGAACACAATTCAGGGTCAGTTCATTAACATTAGTTAGGCTTATACCATAACTTTGGTTTGGCCTTCATCTCAATCTGAATGTATAACCAATAACGACCACTACTCAGTAGACCTAGCCCAACTTATACCACCACAACTGGCTGAGCTAGAACTAATGTTTGTTTTAAGAATACGGATCTTAGAAACCGGCAAGCTTTAATACATGGACAGTATTAACCAAGAATACAATTTGTAAACTCATCAAAAGATGAAATTGCGATAATGAACAATTAACATTGCTACAGGGGAGAGCTACCTGACTTGAGTGTAAATCGCAATTTGCAAATTTTTTAAAAATCTGCGGGATGTGTCGAAAACTGAAGTGTGATTGTTTTGAAATACTGACTGATGTTAGATGAACCACCAGTAGCGAAGGTAGATCAAAAACGTTACTATGATACTTGTTGCTGCTGCGATCTTTGCATTGCGAGATCGCAGATTCAGGTTTTTCGCATCTCGTTTGTACTTCTCAGAGTTAAAAACCAAATTTGTTGCTTTAACATCCAAATCTAAAAAATAAAAAATACTAATGTTCCATTCAAAATGTCATTATCAAAACTGCATACAGTGCAAAAATTGGAAAATTTGTTTAAAGATTGTACTGTAGGTATATATAATTATAATGGTCATTTAGTGGAACAGTGGGGTGGGATAAATAATTATTTTCTTCCAGAGGCAAATGGTTTGTTTAAAGAGTTTAAACTTATAACACATATTTTTTGTGTTTGTGTTAGTCATTGTTTCTGGGACCACAATGGAAATAAGTTGGCGGTTTGGGTACTTCATTGTGTTTTTTTATCCCTGAATTCTGTTATGTTTAGGGTAGGTTTATGCCTACAGTGATGTAAAAATATACTGCAGATTATGCATTTCCAGTTTTTAATAATTAATGATATTAATTAATTTTTTTATTATTAATGATAATAATAATAATAATGATTTAGAAACATTATAGCAGATGAAATTTACTCACCTGAGAGTGCCACACCTCTTTGCATGACATCATCTATATTCTGGACCATTATCCTTTGCACATCTTGTAGTTCATTCTTTATTCCAGTCAACTGTCTCCTTTGCCGACTGTCAATATATGTTTTCTTAGCTTTTTGTAAATATGTGTCTAGAAATGACGGTAAAGGTAGCATTTAATTATCTTAGCATGAAAAATAAATATCTTCACCATTTATATCATTACTTTAAGCACAATATATTTTTTGAAATAACCCAATATACTAAAATACAAAAAACAAATACACACCAAACTCAATGAAGGGATAAGGTCTTGAGACTGCGCTCACTCGTCGCCCATACTTGGAGCTAAATTCCTGTTGAATATCTTCTAAATATTGGAAAGCCAGTCCCATTTTGAAGGTCTTTTCACATAATGCAAGGAAGCACACACCATCTTCTATAATATAACTGTAAATAAATACAAGTTGAATGAAGGAGCATGAAAAAGACTTAACCTGTGTGACATTTATTTACATTTTTTGTATAATTGTTAGTAAATTATATATATTTCATTAAATATATCACGTTAATAGTAATATTCCAATAATAAAACCAACTAAGTATACGTTGACGGTACTGCTATGTTTCATTTCACTGTCAGTGGATACTCGCTTGGTTTTGTTCTAAGGATATTACTAATTATTAACAACCAAAAAGAAAATGAAATTGAAATGAGATTATTCAAATACTGTACATATTTATTTACAATTCATTGGAGGCCTGACATGAAAGTTACAATAGCACACCGTCTGTAACATACATCTCAAAAAAAGAACAAGGGGATTGTCTTCTGGTGTGCTTCCCAACTGCTGATAACCAGAAGCACTCCACTGGAGTTAAGTCTGGATTGTATGGGTTTTCCACTTGTATATTATTTCAAATCAACACTATTTGTGGTTTTTATAACTACTGCATTCATTTTGTTAAGTGAATAGAATTTGATTCAATTTATAAGATAAATCATATGCACAGTAAGTGATTTAGTTCAATCAAAAATATTTTAGAACACATTCATTTTTTATTGCTTTTTGTTTTGTTTTGTTTTCATTTCATAGAACTTACTGAAATATATATGGTTCTGTCGCTATACTTAATCTAGGTGGTGATTGTTGATTCATCTTTGAAAATAACAGCTTTGCTTGCTTCTGATATTCCGACAGACTCCTACCTAACTGAAATTAAAAATATATTTATTAGTTTAGAAAACAACACATTAAGTAAACCATAGACAATAAATGCTACATTTAAAAGAGTAAGAGTATCTATAACTTGGTGGTTAAGACTTGCCAACCAATCCTATTAAAATATAATTATATAAATACATACTTGTTCATCCTCTTGCATGGAAGCTACAAGGGGAAGGCCATCTGCCACCCTGGCAATAATAGTTGTCAATATCATATTCTGGTACTTTAAACCTGAAAATTACACAAAACATTTATTCGAAAATATTAATCAAATTGCTAGGATATACATACACAAAATCATAACAACTGCAATATACTGATTGTATACAGAAATATAAAAACAACTTAGCCTAGGCCTAATTAATTGTCTGCAAAAATTTGTGGGAAAATCAGCACTTGTAGTATTTTCAAAATTAATGGATGGCCTTTTTTGTGCAAAATATACATTACCCCGCCAGCCCTCAGTCTGGTAGGGTACACCGTTTTATCAACGTCTAAATCACTAAAAACTTCAACAAGAGTAATATCAGGCTAGCCTACAGTAGCTAGAGCTAAAGCATGTCTTACCAACAAAAAATATATAGCCTAATGCTCATTAGTACACCAGATTGTATAGTAAGGCCTACGCGGGAATACATCCTCCATGCAAAAATTTGGCCTTGAAATCCGTCAACACATTTCAGAAAATAAGGGCCAATTTCAGCACAGTTTTTGCCAAATATTAGGCTTCTTAATATATAACCAATGCAATTATGCAGGAATTACGATTCCGCGCACCTGTTTTGCTAGCCATTTTCCATGTGCAAATTTGAGCTGATTTTTTAGATAGCCTCCGCGCAATTCAAAAACTTTACAGTTATGGTATGTATACTATACTGTAAAGTATTTTAATTACGTGGAAGATACATCAAAAACTAGCTCAAATTTGCACCGAAAAGTTCTATAAAAATAAGTGTGCAGAATCGTTAACTACTGCATAATACAGAATTGGTATACTGTATTGAGGAATTGGTATACTGAGGAATAGGCCAGAGCATAATTTTGCACAATGGCCTTATTTTAGGGTCTGGTTATGGTGCCTTTCTTTTCCTTGCGTTTGTTTTTATCCTGCGTTACATTCTTGCGTTAACATCTGTGGGGTATAATATAAAAAAAACTAGCCACGTGTCACATTATTAATTACACATATTTATTTAATATTACTTTTTAAAATTGTAATCAATCAGCCTAATAGGCCTAAAAACAATCTAAAAAATAAAGCCACTCCACAAACATAACACCATTGCCCCAATGGGAATAAAAAAGAGTACAGCAGTACAGCAAAAAAACTGCAGTGTTTGTTTTTATGATCCTAATCAAGTAATACACTACCTAGGCTTAAAGTTTGGAAAGCCGTTAGGCTTACACGATACGTGGACCACCGTCAGCCTAGCTTAAGCCTAAATCCCCCTTAGGCCTAGACCTATCTACGTACCCTGGCCTAGCTAGGCTCAGGCCTAATGATAGCAGGCAGTGCCAACGACCAACCTAACCACGCTAGGGCCCCCTACACTAGCCTTGCCTGCACCCAGCCAGCCTAGCCTAAGTCAACTGTAGTACAATTTATGATTACAGATATAGTTTTAACGAAACCTTAAATTGAAACTGCAAATCCTCTGGCGACTAGGCCTATTCTAATGAACAACTGAATCCAGCAGGTTTTGTTTTCTAGGTGTGTGACGTGGAGCATACAGCAGAGCCTTGTCATTTCGCTATACGATTACGTTGTTGAGTTTGCAGGCGCTCGAGTTGATATTCGCTATTCGCCTGTCGCTCGTGGTTAATTGATGGCGGCCCACCACGTTCAGTAGTGTTTTGCTGCAGTGACATCTCGGTGCTGGCGACTCGCTGCTGGCGATGACTCGCTGCTGGCGAATCGATCTGCGCATGTGTTTAAAATGGTATTTACTTCCGAAAACATGCCTGCTGCGCGCGGTAGGTTTGTATTTTGTTTTTCAATGAATGAAATTAAATTTTAAGATGTCTTTCTAGACCTAGTTACATTATCATTATAGAATATTGTATATTAACTCTAAAATATAACACAAAGTCAATTTTATATAGGTCTAACATATGTAGGGCTACGGAACGATGTAGTGTA